ATTTTTCAAGGGCTGTGGTGGCAGGAGGGATTTTTGGCCACATCATAAAGAGTTTCGTGGCCACCTCTGATAGACCCATCTCAGGAAGTTGTAATTTTCCACGATTAGGTTATTAGTCACCAAGGTGATCCCTGCCCCCAGCTCCTGGCTCCTGTGCTGTGGCAGCCTGACAGAGGTGGTGCTCCATTGTGGTTAGGCCTCTTCAGTAGGCCAGGAGCCCTGGAGGCCCCGAGAACTAAGGTTGGGCCATCTGTGTGCCTGCCTTGTTTGTGGAGCTTCACAGCCCCATTCCAGGATTTACCACTTTCTTGAGCACTATGTCCTCCTCAGGAGATTTAGCTTGGGCAATAAATTCCTTACGATCTCAATGAAGGGATGTGGATAGAGAATAGCTCCCAAAAAATCCACTTAAAGGAAGACCCATGTACTCTGTGGTATCAGTAACTGTGAAGGCCCAGTCTATGACCTTTCTGGGCATTTTCATTTTAAGAAAAGAGAAAGTCTTAAGCCAAAGGAATGCATTAATGGAGATCTTTCATAAAGCACTTGCAAGAAACCTTGCAGCACTCAGAGCTCCTTGCCCATTAGAAAGATGGGGTTGTGTGGTCATACTTGGATCCCCAGGTTGGGCTTCACTCAGGAAGGCAGAATTAGGCATCCTACCCATCTATCGGAGGTTTGCCTACTTCTTCCAAACTCCTGCATTCCCTTATTCCAGCTCCTGGGCTTCAGTGGGTACCTCTGAGGAGCATTCCTGCTCCTGGAGTTCGTGGGGGCACTGCCAAGCTGAGGACTGAGGAGAGCTGCTCCCTAAACCTTGCCCTCAAAGCCTTGGGGACAGTCATGCGTCTTGGTTGCCAGCTGGTAACATTTTCCTAGATGTAAAGGTGCTGGACTGGAAGTCCCCTCTGGCCTCTAGGCAGGCCTCTCCTCTCCGAGCTTGTAGCTGGCCCCAGCTTGTCCGCTGTGATGATTTCTGAGGTGGGGCATGTTATGGTGGACAAGAATACAGGGAAGCAGGAGTTGCTGCATTTGAGGCAGGCAGGGTGGGATGCGGCTGGAGGAACTGGTCTTTTTTTCAATCTTATCTCTATCAGAAACAGTCATAGTGTGGCCATAGGGATTTGTTTGTTTACTTGCTTGCTTGTTTGAAAGTAACCCATCTTTTTCTGAAGTCCTGGATGCTGCCATAGTTCTGAAAAGGCCAACGATTGGCTCAATTTTTCCAGATGTTTGGGATCTTCCAAGGGTCCTTTTCATGCCTATGAAGTGACCCAACCCACCCGCCCACCCTGCCCAAGTTCCTAGTGCTTATGTATGTCAGAGGAGGAGACTGAAAAATAACTTAGCCTCCGAGCTTAAGAACTGCCTTCTTAGAGTGTGCTGTCTTCTCAGGGGAGGGAATTCAGGAAGAGGCTGTCCTGCTACACGTGAGGAAGTGGGAGCAGCAAATGAGCAGGTGCTGCATCCAGGGCAGGTTTAGAGGGAGGCTTATCAGATGAATGGTGGTTCATGTACAAACTACAGGAAACAAATCAAGAAGACAGCTGGGTAGAAGTGAGGTGGCTTCTGTGCCCTCAGAAAAGCAGGAGTCTGAGTTCATAAGGAAGTGACTCTTTTCAATAACACAGGTGGGCCAGTCTCAGACAGTACTGCAACCTTTCCCAGACGTCCTCTTCATGGTGTTTCTCACATTTCTCCACCTTAATCAACAATGCTGACCACACTTGATGCCTTTCGGGGTGACTCAGGGCCACTGCTCAGGTTGGCCATTGTGCATTGAATCTAGGCGAGGGTGCAGGTGCAGCTGGAGGTGGGACCAGCTCTGAATCGCACCAACCTGTAAAGAGTCCCTAGATTGCCATTTAGGCAAAAGTCTCACAACCAATTTGCTTTTGGATCCTTTACCTCATTCTTTCTGAGAGGCATTTGATAGAAATAGCCTGATTTTTGAAGTCCGAGAGACCTGGCTTCAACTCTTGACTTAGCCCTACCCACTAATTGCCAGACTTTAGACAGCTTAATAACTCCTCATTTTGCCCTGTTCATTCATTCAACACATATTGCTTGGGCATCTTCTATGTACCAGGTACTAGTTTCGGTACTTGGGAATCATCAGAAGAGGAAGCAGAGAAGTATTCCTGTCTTCAGAAATGTATATCATAGCATGGGAGACACAAAATGAATGTCAGAAAGGTGATAAGTGCCACAGAAAAAGACAAGGTAAGGAGGATTTGGGGTGCTGGGAGTGCTGGCAGAAGGGGAAGGAATCTCGAATGGGTGGTAGGGCAGATCTCTTTGAGAAAATAACATCTGAGAAAAGACTTGAAAGTGGTGGAAGAGTTTGGGTGTTGCAGACAGAGGGAAGAACCAATGCATAGGTCCTGAGGCTGCTGTATTCAAGGAACAGCGAGGGAGCTGGCGTGGCTGGAGCAGCATGAGTGAGAGGGGAGGGGCACAGTGGAAAAAGGGAGGTAATGGAAAGATGAAGGGGCAGATGACGTTGGGCCTTGTAGGCCACTGTGGGAGCTTTGCTTTTGCTCAGATAAAACTCAGAGCCACTGGAGAGTTTTGAACAGAGTTGCATGATCTAACCTAGATTGTAACAGGATCACTCTGGCTGCTGAGATGAGAATAGAACATAGAGGGGGGGCACTGGTAGAAGCAGAGAAATTAGCTAGGCATCCACTGAGGTACATTTTAGGCAGATTATAGTGGCTTGAACATCATGGGTGCAGTGAAAGTGGTGAAAACTGTTGGATTCTGGATTTATTTTGAAAGGAGAGCCATCAGAATTTGCTGATAAATTAGATGTGGAACATGAGAGAGAGCAGAGATGATGATGACTCCAAGGGTTTTGCTCTGGGTGGCTGGAAAGAAGGGCTTGACGTCACCGGAGATAAGGAAGGCTGCAGTGAGGCAGGTTTCAAGGGGGAAGATCAGGAGTTCACTTTTGAACATGTAAAATGGGATGGTGATACACTTTTCACAGGGCAGTAGTGCAGAGTGAATAAGATAATATGTGAAAGTGCTTAACCCTCATAGCTAGCTCTCGGTAACTGTCACTTTCCCTTTTCCTCTCTCATACAAGTTGGTGAAGTACGAGCAATTGGGGGTCCTCTAAGCCAATTTGACTAATCGCCTTTCTATAGAAATAATGAGCCAATCAGATGCCAAAACAGTCTCCTCCCCCGTGGTTTTCTCACCCTTCAGAAAACTTTCACTGTTGCTAACAGGGTCTTTCAATTTGTTAAAAGTTTCTTGGTGATGTTGCCACACCAACATGATGATGAGTTTCTGCATCAGTGGCACCTCGGGGCCCAGGCAGCCTCTCATCTGTGCGCTAACCATGTCCATGTCAGTTGCTCTGCAGGTGTCAGCTGAGCAAGAGCCAGGAACTCCTCGTAACAGTGAGCAGAGAGTAAGGGAAGGAGTTTCCCCAGAAGCTACACTTTTTATTATCAAAAGATAGTTAGCTGACATAACATTAGGTCACAAGTTTCTCTTAGCCCTTTGAATCATTGGTCTCTGAATAAAATTGCTGGCATGTGGCATATTGCAGTTGCTGAATGAACAAAACAAACATGTATAGTAAATACAAAATAAACATGTATAGTAAAACGTTTTTTCACAAAGAGTATAAATGTATGTTTGACTCTGTGGACAGGGAAAGAGAGGTTGAAGGATGCTAACCAAGGAGCTGTCTCTGGATATGGGATGCTTTCTACTTTACTTGTTTGGATTTTTAACAGTAAGCTTACATCATTATTCAGACTAAATAGAGTAATTTTTAAGAAGTCTCCAAAATGTTCAAGTAAGATTTGTGTGGCACCCATGTGATGGATAGGCTTTCTTGTGAGGTGATTTCACTGGTGACATTGCTTCATCTGAGAGACAGCCTGACCCTACTGTAGCTGCAGTGGGACAGGCCAAGCAGAGGCACATGAGATGATGACAGTTTAGGAAAATAGATAACATTCCTTAGAAGTACCCAGACTTCCCTCTTCCACTATGGTTGGTGACTGCCCAGACCCAGAGCTGTGCTCACTCTCACTCACCTACTCACTCTGACAGAGAGCCTTTGTTCCAGGCAGAAATGTGTGAACAGCTCTAGGTTTTTGTTATGCATGTATATACTGGCTGATAGTGTGAGGGCTTGAGGTATTTGTGGGACGTCGTTGACAGCTCCATGATAACAAAATCTTAGTGTCCAGAAGTTCTACTTGAGGGCCACTTCTAGGACTTGCATATATGAGAACAGTGATCTTATCCTTACTCTGTTTGAATTCTGGAGATTTGGTTTGTGGGCACCTGCCAATGTGGGCATTGGCAAGTGAATCCCAAATATACAGGCTTCTTTGGCCTGTAAAATAGTTCAAGAGGCAAGCTAAGTTCCCATATGATCTCTCAAGAAATCTATCAAGTTGTACAGAAGCAGAGCATTTGAGTACCTGCCTTTGGAGCCTTGGGGTCATTGAGTTTGGAAGCCCTGGTATTGTCCTGATCCAGTGATATTTCCCTAAGGTCATTCTTAGAGTTCAGAGTATGCCAGTTCTTGAAAAATGATTCAGTTCTCATACTCTGTGACCTTCAAGGTCCCACTGCCGAGTGCCAAACTGGCGAGGGGGAATATCACTGAATGGGTCATAGATACCCACCCTGCCCCACAAGCCATTCAGGTATGCTGAGTGACTTTAATGACCGCTTCTGCCCCAACACTGAATGCCCTCTGCCTCATCCCTTATATGCCATTTATGCTGTAACTGTCCTTGCCTCTGTTTCTGCCCCCTTCATCTGGGCACCCCAGCCCTCCTGCTTGGGATCTTTGGGGCTTGGATGCTGAGTAGAGATCATCTCTTTGGTGGTAAGTGACTGTGTGAGCAGGTGGTGAGCAGCAAGTCTTTGCTGACCACTGGCTCTTCCTCCTCTGGCCGCCTTCCTTCCCCAGTCCTGTGTTGCTAACTTTTGTCTAAAATTCCTCTCTGTTCTCCTGTGGCCAGGATGTCAGAAGCTGCTCCAGATGGGGAGGATGCCATCTTGGATGCCTGATGACCAACATGCACAGCTTCAGTGGGCATCACTCCATGAATATCAGCCTGGATCATGGCCATAGTGCTGAGTGGTAGGCAGTCAATGGGCAGCAGCAGTGGCATCCGCTCTTCAAAGTTCCAGGAGTTCAAGGTGCAGGAGCATGAGGCAGAAGGTTACTTGCTACATCTCAAGTCCATATCATCATATGACCAGAATCAGGGTACCCTGAGAGTGAGAGAGGGCTTGCTGGATCAGGCAGGCCCCAGGGCACCCTTGCCACCTGTCCCCATCTCCTTCTGGATACTTTTGGCTCTGTCAAGGGCATTCAACGGAGACCTCCCAAGAGCCCAGGCCAGGTGAGGAGCAGAGAGTGGGAAAGTTGAGGCAAAGGGCATCCACCTGCCAGGTCCTTGAGCACTGTGCCCTGCCTCCCGCCTGTGCTCCATCCTGTGTTCTCTATTCCCTGTGACCCCTTTCCTGACCCCTTTTCCCGCTTCTTACCCCCACTATCCAGTTCAGGTCATTATCTCTGGAAACCTCCTCACTGATCCCCCTACCAATGCTTTTAGCCAGTACAGTAGCCTGAGTTATCCTTTAAAAGTGTAAGTCCATCTTGTCAGGTCTCATCTGAATGTTACCTCCTCAGAAAGGCTCCCATTGATCACTCCAAAGACTCCGTGTCATCATATGTTTTATTATCTTAATTGCTGTTATCTCTGACATTATCTGGGGAATTTCTTTGTTCACAGCTTTATGTCTTCCCCCTACCCCCGAATGTAACCACCAAGAGAGCAGAGAATCTCTCCTATTTCCCACTTTTCCCCAGTACCCAGGACAGTCAGTGCCTGATATACAGCAAGCAGGAGCTCAATAAGTATTTATTGAATGAATCAATTAATCCATCCATCCATCTATCCAACCCTCAGAAGAGCTCACATTCCAGTCACTGGGATATTTGTTAGTCCTTAGAGTGACCTGGGTGCTGAGCAGAGAGGAGAGAGCCTCTCTTTGGTGTATGGCACAAGCGTGTCGTGACCCTGGGAGGTGAGGCTAGGACCTCTTGGCAGGGTGGCAGTTAGCCAGTGGTAGGTCACGTGTCTCTTTAAAAGCAGCAGGAAGCCAGACTCTGAGATAAGAAGCGTGACTGCCAGCGTGATGAAGCTGGGGAGAGGGCCAGAGGGTGGAGAGGTGAGACTGCTCCATGGGGATGCCCAGGCCTCTGTGGCTGGCCGACCAGCACCACACACTTCCTGTGGGGAACAAGGAGAGGAGATCCCCTCTGAAGGCCCTGGAGCTGGGGCTGCCCCAGGTGCCTTACCCTTGTCTTCACTGAGGTGGCTAAGACACAAGGCTGCTGCCTCTCCTCTATGCCATTCATGCACACAGGGACCTGCCCTAGGGCAGGTGTTGGACCCATGTGCTCTTGACTGCCCCAGCTGCCTGGACTCCTCTGTGTTTTAGTCTTTTTGTTGGTGAAATGGTTTCACCACACTGGTGGTTGTAAAGAGTCTGGGACATCTGGGAGGAAGGCCTCGGTGGGTACTGGGGGCTGGAGGCTCAAGGAGTCGTGAGGCTGTGGCAGACTGAGATTTGAGGTAAGAGTGGTAGCCTGAGGTGCTACCTCTACCGGAAGGCTCACACTGAGGGTTCTGAGGCAGGCAAGGGGCAGACACTTAGAGGTCTCAGGTCTAGCTGACATCCTGATACTACATGGCCAAGACCTGCCATCTCTCTCAGTATCTTATCCTGGCTGGTTCATGCTGAGTAGCAGGCGGGTAATGGAAGAGCACTTGATGAGAAATCTCAGAGACTAGGGTTCAAGCCTCATCTCTGCCACTCTTTGGGTTTATAGCTCAGGACAAGCTATTTCTCTGCTTGCTGCTTAAGTTACGCCATCTGTGAAAGAGGGGGGTCATGGTCTCACATGATTGTGGTGAGCATTAAAGAAATGATGTAAGTCATTGCCATGACTCTATGGGCTTGAGCTCCCTACTCCTACACTGTCATCTTCTGGGGTATGGATGGTAGGGGAATCTCTGGACAGAAAACCGCTGTCCTGACTCAGTGGCCTGCCCCACCCTGGCCTCTGGCCCAGATTCTGGAGGTCTTAGTCAGGGGGTGGGGGCCAAAGCTGGGGTTTCCCTGTAGGTTCCATGGGACAAAAGCACTGTAGCTCACTGGAAAGCCCTCAAAACAGCTGGATGTAGCCCTGCCTGAGAAGAGCTCACAACTGCCAGAACAGACGGGTGGACCAGTTGGACCCGCCTCTTGGGGAAACCCAAGCATGAGCTGGCACCTGGACCTGAATACAGTTCCTGTCCATCCTGCTCCATCAAGGCTCTGAGGAAAGCTTGGGAAAGGAAATTGGGGTAACCCACAGGCAGAAGACTGCTCTCACCTGAATCCTACTCACATCCAGCCTGTCCAAAGATCCCATCCCCCAGTGCCTGAACTATCCAGGCTTCTTCCACTCACATCACCTCCTCATTCCCCATCACTCTCTCACCTTACCTGTCCCAAGGCCCCTGCAAACAGGTATTACCTCACCCTGCACTGACATGCTTTCTCCAGGATCAGGGGAGTTTCCTGACCTCTTGGTCTTCCCTGTGATGGCACCACTCCTGGCTCCTTCCCTCCTCTGTGACCAGTTCTTACCAGACACTAGTGCAGTTGCTTCTTCTTCTGCCCATCTTCTAGGTTTGCAAGTTACTTAGGGCTTGATCCTTTCTCTCCTTGGCTGCACAGGTGTCTCAAACTTTGATCTAATGGCCAAATCAGGGCCTATATCCTCCAATTAGGGTCCCTATCTTTTCTTAACATACTACCCCATAAATAGCACCTCAGACTTACGATATTCCCCAGACATATTTCTGCATGCCCTTCTTTGGAGGGGAAATTCCACCACTTTGGAGCCACCCTAACTGTGAGCTACTGGGCCCAGAATTCTCCTATCTGGCTTCCACCTTTGTATCAGCTCATTCCTGCCATGTTTCTCACCAGGACTCCTGCCATGAATGCAAGACTCTCTTTTAGGCATCCCATCATGTTCTCCCTACCCCTTTGCCACCTGGCAGATGACTCCTCCTCCCTTCAAAGACTGTCCTGCAACTATCTACCCAAGGAATTGTACCTAACTCCCTGACCCTCTGACCCAGGAAATGGATATCCATTTCCTGATAGGTATCCCTGGTACCTACTGGCTGAGGCACAGTGAGTACTCAGTATTAGGGAGGGAGGGGGACCCTGAAGCCGTTTCTCCTAAGGAGTTGGGTACCTGAGATCCGCGGAGTGAGGCCCTTTCCTGGGATTTTATGTCCCAATAGAAAGAGGTTTAAGCTAAACAATAGAATCTTAATGGGGGATTTCTAAGCATCAGGCTTCTGACCTGCTTGCCCAGGAGCTGGTTTTGTGCATGACATTTCAAAAGTGGTGTGGTTCATGCTGTGATATGCAACCCAGACACTCATTTATGAATGAAGGCTTTATTCCACTGGCTGCTGGGAGAGCTACCAGAAGACAGCCTTGGTGGTCAGTCCTCTTTGGGGCTTGCCTCTGCTAAAGAAAATTGCCTTGTGTAAGGTCACATCTGCTTCCAGATGGAGCTCACATCTAGTGACTGATAAAGATGAGGGCATGAAGGTGTGAGAAAATGCTGAATAACCATCCCAGGAGAGCCCCTGGGTTCAGCTGGAACCTTTGTTAGAACTGCGTGGCCTCTGTCCTGGAAGACATGTTCTCTCATCATTCCAGGACCTGCTCCTACTCCCACTCTTGGCCACTTGGCCAATAACTAGGGTTAAGTCACAATATAACCTCACCAGAAATGGGTCTGTTAGGGGAGAAAGGGATCTACACTATACAAAATGCAAGAGCTAGCCAGTAAGTACAAGCAGCAGTTGGAAGAATATATATGAAACTGGATTCTGGATCAGGAAAGAGGGTGGTACAGAAATTTGGATAAAAGAGTTTATGAAATCACTATCCAAGGATGCAGTGTTTAAAACTGGCAAGCACCCCAGGAGATGATACAGATAAACCATTAGAATGGTTCCTAGAAGCAAGGAAAAATAAATGAGGTAGATACACCAGAATTGCTGTGGCAGACTATGGAAGAAGTGGGTATGCACAAGTGGATATACTAAGTAAGGTTGGAAAACCCCCTCAAGAATCCAAAAGATACCAAAACAATAAGAAATGTGCTGGAAATAAGGATACCAGCATCACTAAGAGGTAAACTGGTGGCCATCCTCTGTGGTCAGGACTGACAGTAGAAGATGTTGTCACAGAACTGAGCTCACTGAGAGCAATGTTGCTTATTCTGTACAATCAGAAGAAATCAGTCAAGGATGATGAGCCTACTCATCCCATTCACAAGCCCCTTGCCAAGTTTCCAGATTGGTTGTTACCAGAATCAGTGCATTGATTGAAGAAGAAACCATATCTCCAGATAGAGGGATCCCACAATACCACAACAAGTGTGCCTGATAATGATTTCTCCAGCACTTCCCCAAGGGAACCTGTGGCCAATTATTTGGGTAACTGTGGATACTGGGAAAAGGAGAATACACAAGCATTTAAAGGATTATTGAACACAAGATTTGAGTTGAAACTATTCTCTGGAGATCTGAAGTAGCACCAAGACCCTCTTGTCAGAGTTGGGGGCACATGTAGTTCAGATAATAAGTAGATTCTTGGCCAGAATCCTGCTCAGAGCAGGCCCTCTAGGTTCCCAGACCCATCAGGTGACATAAGCAGATAAACATATTTCATGATTAGCATAATCCTCTATATTGGATCATTGGCCTTTGTGATATGGGCTGTCATAGTGAGGAGAGCCAAATGGAAGCCATAAAAATGTCTCCCCTTTCTAGCGAAAATTGTAAATTAAAAACATCACATTGCAGAGATGATGGCAGAAATTGGTGCCACCATTAAAAACCTAAAGGAAGTCTGTTATATCTTCTTTAATTTACTAGTAAAACCCAGATAGATCTAGATCCTAGAAGATGGCGTTGGGCTACTACCTGTTCAACAAATAGTAGCTGCAGTTGGAACCACTGTGCCAGCCAGATGTGATATCTTTGCTACAGTAGATTAACACGGCCTCAGGCATACAGTGTGTGGCCACTAATCTGGTGACTCCAGTCTTTTCCACCCCGTCAGAAATGGTTTGCATTCACTTGGAACAAACACAGTACAGATTTCTAGGGATGCGTTATTGCTCCTTCCTTCATTCATGCTGTAGTCCTAAGAGGTCTGGATCATTTGGGGCGCCCTATAGAACATAACTCTGGTCTTCTCAGTAATGTTATACTGATCAGACAAGATGATCTAGAAGTGACTAACACATTGATGACTATGACAAGATAAAAGTACTCCAGAAAATAAGCCCTATGAAGATTCAGAGCCTGCCACATCAATGAAGTTTTTAAGGAGCCAGTGGTCTAGAGCACATCAGAAAATTTCCTCTGAAGTATAGGATGAATTATTACATGTTGTACTTCTCACCATGAAGAGGGAGGCACCATGTTTTGTAGGCCCCTTGGGGTTATGGATGCAACCTGTTGCACGCTTGGGAATACTACTGTGACCTGTAAACCTGGCAATAACTCAAAAGCCTGCCACCTTTGTGTGGGGCCCCAGGCAGGCAAGGACTCTGCAACATTTTCAAGCTGTAATACAGGTAACCCTGCAATTTGGACCTTACGAATCTTCAGATCCTGTGGTTTTTAAAGGTATCAGTAGTGGGAAAATACATTGTGTCCCTAAGGTTCTGGAGCAAAGCTATATCATTTGCATTGGGGAATTTTACACCTTTTGGTAAAGAGCTCTTGTTATGCTACTGAACCCTAGTGGAGCTGGAGGGCCTCACTGAGAAGGTCAAGCGGGCCTAGCAGTAACATTGTAATTCTGGAATTAATTGTGAGCAAGATTGCAGGACACAAGTAAGCTGCAGAAATAGGTAACCCAGAACTCCATGTCATCTACCACCATGGCACCAGAGCCTTTCCCCTAGCTCACACCTATGGATACATGGGTGATGCGGACCAGCTGATGGAAGAGGTAAAAGTTTAATTTGGTTTATAAGTTGATCACATCAGTATGTGGGTCAAGCCAAAAATGGTTAGTTACTCTACTACAGCTCCACTCAGGAATGACCTTTAAAGACAATAGTGAGGAAAAATCCAGTCTGCTAAAGCTTCAGGTTGTATGCCTGATCGTTGACTTTGTATAGAGAGGTAGGCTGAAGTTAAAATATATATAGATTCAAGGGCAGTGGCAAATGGCTTGTCTAGCTGGTTGGGGACCTAGAAAGAGAAAGACTAGAAGACCGGGGACAAGGAAGTCTGTTATAGAGACAAGTGATTGACAAACATTAGTGGTGTGAAATATGAAAAGCTTCATATTTGAGTGTTAATGCCAGGAAGCCTACCACAATGGAAGAGGCACTGTAATCGGGTAGACGTAGTGACTCTTCCATTTGATATCATCCAGCTTCTGTCATTGTACCTCAGTGCTGCCTCAATGGGTACATGAATGGAGTACCCATGGGTACAGGGATGCAGGCTATGCATAAACCTAATACCATGAGCTCTTACCACAGTTGATCTAGCTATTGTCACTGTCAAATGTCTATCTTGCTGGCAACAGAGACCAGCCCTGAGCTCCAGATGCAATATTGTGAGTCAAGGAGATCAATAGGCCACTTGGTTGCTAGTTGACCACAATGGGCCTCTTAGACCCTGGAAGGACCAGTAATTCATTTTGACAAAAATAAAAACACATTCCAGGTACAGGTTTGCCTTTCCTGTCTTCAGGGCCTCAGCCAAACCACTCCCCAAGGGCTTTCACAGCTTTTGATCCACCAGCATGGGGTCTCATATAATATCATGTCAAACCGAGGGATCCACTTTATGGCAAAGAAGGAGTAGGTCCATGACCATAGGGTCCACTGGTCTTATCATAAACTGCACTATCTAGGAGCTGCCAAACTGATAGAATGTTGTGCAACAGCCTGTTGGAGGCGTGATTGAAACACCAGCTTGAGAGAGGTACTTAGAAGGATAATGAGCCATCCTCCATGACACAGTTCTCACTATGTCAAAGACCCTCACTTGGAGCCATGTCCTGATAAATATAATACAAAGGTCTGAGAATCAAGAGACAGAAACATGAATGGTCCTTTTTACCATCTCCCTGTGACCCATTTGGAAAATGTGTGCTTCCCATCCCTTCATCTCTATACTCTATGGCCTTAGAGATCCTGGTTCCCCAGGAAGGAACGCTTCCACCAGGGACTACAGCAAGAGTCTATACCATAAGCCAGGGTTGCTACCAGAGCAGTTTGACCTCTTTGTATCCAGGAACCAGAAGAAAGGAAGAGTAGTCACCATCGTGGCAGGGTATCTGAGCCTGATCATCAGGAGGAAAGGTAAAAAAAAATAATAATAAATTAATTAATTAATTAAATAAAATTTTAAAAAAAAGAGGAAAGGGTACTGCTCTACAGTGCTACACAGTGGGATCCATTTGAGTGCCCCTCTGGTACTCCTTCCCCCAGTTTTGATAGTAAAGGGACAAGTGAAGCAACCCCTTGCTAAAATGGAATCAGATCAGGCAGTCAGACCCCTCAGGAATTATACCATCAGGGAAGCCACATATCTACTCATTGCTAATAGAGGGTGAGGAGGAATCTGGAATAGATAGAATAGGAGATGAGTGCTAACTGTGGCCCTGAAATCAGCTACAACAGCAGGGCTGTAGTTCATCTCACTAAGCTTCCTCTTTTAAGTTTACTCCAAGAAGAGAAGTACACCGGAATCATTGATTTGCTGGAGCTGACTCAGCCTGGATGGAGCGAGCTCATTGCTAAATTTTTGCCAGCCAGTTTTTGAACCATTATAAACTTCAAATCAGCCCTAGTGGGAGTATTTATACCATGACAATTTACAAATTTTACAAATCAAGATTTGGCTTGTGTGTGTGTGAAGTCAGGTTTTTTTTTCTTTTTTTTTTTTTAACTTTTTTTATTGAGTTACAGTCATTTACAATGTTGTGTCAGAATCCA